GAGTCGTCGCAACCGCAGATAGGCAAGACGGCAAGGTACGTGTGGCAGACGTGGCAACCATGGCGGGCACAGTTAAGCGCCCTATACCTAAACTTGCCTTACGTTGAAGGATCATGATCATGTCAAAGTGGCAGGTGTTGCGTCAAGCGACATCATAAATGCTAAAATTAAAATATATATGTATTAAGTCCATTTAAAATACTATAAATTGTAATATTACAGAATTGAACTGAAATTATAAAGTTTATAGTTTATATAACATACTTACCCTAACAATACTCACCTTAATCTTTTACCATAATTAATTCTTTTACCACAATTTAATCTTGTGTCATAACTTAACGAAATGAATTATACTTACACCTTTTTGTAAATACATACTTACGTTAAAACTATTTTTCACTGTTAGCTTAAGATTTAGGCTAAGTGACATATGAACTGCAATAAAGAATTCAATTGTATAAAAACCGCAATCGCGATCTTCTTTTATCGGTCCCATAATTTTCATATAATTAATTTTGGCACAGGCAATTGGTACGTTCATAGAGCTTGAGATTTTTCACACCATTTTAAATTCCATCTGTTTCTTTCACTTTCCACTATGAAAATCAAGCAACAATGATTGTATGGGGTTAAAACTTTGCGTTTAAAGTATGCCACCTTGTGACCAAAAATTGTCTAAATCGAACCAAAACTGTTCAAGCCCCTAGGTACTGAATATATGGACCTGTGCCTGTAGTTGACTTTTTACCGAAAATATCGTTTAATTTGTAAGATATATATTTGATATTGATATAATAAATGGTGTTATCAGTAATTAACTGAGGCAACAGTTCCTACTTCTAATTATTAAAAAATATAAAGAAATATCAAACGGGTATACCATTTTACTTTGCGAGAGTAAACATTTTACATCCGAACTTAGCCCTTCCTTACTTGCTATGTTAGGTTTGACAACTTGGAATGGTGGAGTCATTTTATGACGCAAATCCCCCAGCGTTACTGTACTTGTTATTTTCTTCTTTGCCATTCTTACAAGAATTAATACCACCAGTACTATGATTATCAATGTTATATTAATACCATATGATACATATTTATGGTATTTTAGTTTTACACCTTCTTTTATATTTGTAATATTTTTTATTGCTTAAGCATTAAATGTTAATTTTGGTGTGTAACTTTGACTTGATTTTTCGACGGGGTATACGATTGTATCACCATACTCTGTTTTATTTTTTTTATATTCCCGTTGCAATATTTATATTTAAAGTTTACAAATTTATGAAGTTATTTTGGAATATTATAGAGCAACCACAGCTTCAGCTTCTCTGCTGTGTGCTTCGGGTCGTTGTCTTGTTGGAAAATAAATCGCTCACCTAGTCCCAACTTGTCTGCACTTTCTTTTAAATTTATTTCTACCCACATCATAGCATATCCACCACCATGCTCTACCGTAGGTACGAGATTTTGCTCATCCAGTGCTGTTCCACTTTTCCACCAAACAATCTTACGACATTTTATTCCAAAAATGCAAAACTTGAGGCTTGTTTAATTGCTCTTTTGCAAAAGCCATCCTCTTAAGTTGATTTACTCTCAATATGTAGGGTTTTCAACGTGCCACTCACACAATTTTTCATACTGTATCTGGACATAACTTCTTTTGGTATTTAAATTCTATGTCTTTTGAAATTTGGCTTGCTGTCAGTCGTGGATTACACTTTACAAGAGAGGTTATATTGCGCTCTTTTCTTTTAGTTAGTTTTTTGGACGTCCAGAACGTGGCTTGGACTCATGACATTTTGTTTGCTTGTAATTGTTTATTACTCTCTGGACTGAGGAGTACTCTCTCCCAACAGTTTTCGCGATTTTTCGATAACTTTTGCCATTTTACCACAATCCAACAATGATTTTTCTTTCGCCAATATCTATTTCTTTTCGCTTTTGGTCCATATTAAAAAAAGAAGAATAACTCATGTGATTATATATGTTTTAGACGTGTTATTAAACGCGCTAACAATCGTTTATCATTTTAAATAAATTTGATATAAAAACTTGTACTTTTCATACAACTAAAAATCGATATTTAAAGTGAACGCACACTTTTTCTGCTCAACTTACTTAAGTAGCGGTACTAAAATCCCGTTAACTCGGAACGACGCAGCTAAAATTCTACAAAATTTTGCCCATAAACTTATCGATCAATTGTCTTCAAAATAAGTGGAACGAAATGAATGAAACTTTTAAGTTGCATATATTTTTTTGGTTAATGCTTAAATACAATGGGTGAACGCAGACTTTTTCTGCCATGTGTATACATATCTAAATGGTCAGGATGAAGCGACGAGTTGAAATCCGGGTGACTGTCTGTCTGTGTTTATGAAACTTGGTACACATGTTTCTTGGTACCGTAAGACGGTTGGTATTGCAGATGGGCGTAATCGGACCACTGCCACGCCCACAAAACGTCATTAATCAAAAACAAATAAATTGCCATAACTAAGCGCCACAATAAGATACAAGACTTTTATTTGGTACACAGGCTCACATTAGGGAGGGACATTTGCAGTTAAAAAAACTTTGAAAGTGGGCGTGGTCCCGCGCCCTAATCGCGTTAATGTGCATATTTCCTAAATCGTTAAAGCTATTTTCTATGAACTTTAGTTTGCTTATTTGGTCAAACAACAAAATTTTCTTTCAATTCTATTTTCTTCTTCGTTTATTTTGTTTAGAGTTTCTGCTATTTGATTCCTATCTGATTCTGTAGTCTCTTTCAATAAGTTTAATGATCTATTGAAATGTTCATTAATTACTATTTGTTTATTTAAGTTTACAATAGCATTATAGCCATTTTCTTCAATAATTTTCAAATGATCCACAATGTCTTTCTTGTCATCATCATCCATTACTCCAAACGTCCATTTATAGGCTGTTCCCCTAATATTAGTTAAGCCCCTTTTCTTTCTTTCTTTGATATAATATGTTATAGATGTAATCTTTGCTTTTATATTTTTTATTTCATGATACAAAATTTCTTTTTTTTTATAGGTTATTATCCCCATTAAATGCTCTTAAACTATATTCATCATCATCTTTCTTGTTTGGGCTACTAGAGCAGGCACCGTGAAAACCTCTTTTGTCGATGAAAACACGAATTTTGTGTCGGTGCGAACATAGTATAAGCTGCTGCAAATTTGGTAAATTAGCAATCGCCGTAACAAATGATTGTTTGTTGAAATAGAATATGTCTATATGAATTATCTCATTTTTATTGGTTGGAGTTTCAGTTATATGAAACTTTAGTTTTATTGGTTTTCTATCGTACTTGGTTTGTTAGCATTTTTGGCAGTTGTTTATTATCAATTGTATATCTTCCTTGAATTTCGGATAATATATTTAATCTGTTAATGTATTAAATATTTCATTTATGTTACTCGTCTCAAGAAATCAGCTACAACATTACTTTTTCCACATACATATTCTACTTCAAAGTTGTATTCCTGCAATTTCAATAACCCCCTTTGATGGCGTTGAGAAAATTATTTTCCTTTATATTTATTAATTAGTATTCGATTGGACAATGATCTGTTATTATTTTGACTTTATTGCCATATATATATGGTCGAAAATATGTGATTGATGTGATGAAATATAATATTACTGCTAAAAATTCTTTGTGTTGTGTTCTGAAATGTAACACACTGTTTGACCTTGCTGTGAAAGTACTGTCACTAGCATCAGTTGTGATACTGAATACCTTATCATACTCTGTGAATTTTAGAATTGGGTGAAACGAAATTAGTGCTTTTAAGGTCTCAAAGCTTTCAATATATTGTGGGTCTTTGGCACTTATTTTATTGCCTTTTTTCAAATATTTTATCATGGAATAAGCTATTTTTGAATAATCTTTCATGAATTTTCTGTAATATTCTCTGCCTGTACTTTTAATTTGTTTTTTTGTAATTTTAAAAATATTTTTTCAATGAGCTTATATGCTCTTCTAATGAAGTTGAAAAATTAGTATGTCGTCTAAATATTCGACATATATTTTATTTATGTATTCTCACATTTTTCTACCCGAGAGGCATTCGAAGGTATTCTTATAGTCCGGCCAGAGTAACAAAAGTTGTTTTCTCGATGTCCCTTTCAAAAATTGTAAAAGACCTCTAGTACGGAGTACATAGACCCCAATTCCTATTGCGAACTTTTTATGGAAAATAGCTATAAATTTGAGGGATATATTATATAATATTATACAAACTCAGAGAGAATGTTTAGCTGATATCAATATGTCCATGTGCCAAAAATGGGTTGAATCAGATTAACTTTATACTGCAAATATTGGACAAAACGCGCGTTATCTTAATGAAATAAAAAACGGTGTTTTTGATATAACAAAGATATGTGTCTTTGGAATAATAAAAAGTTTGAATAAAATAAATAATTTTTATATGAGAAAAAAATAATTGAAAATAGGCCATTTTTTGGTCGACGAAGCCCATGTAAACCCTTAAGTCTAGAAACGTTTCATTTTCTAATAGCGCAGTGTGAGCTGGTTTGTGTGACTTGGTTTGGAAGGTTATATACTGGTGGTCACTGCCAGAATAATGTTCCTAAACTTCCTATTACTTCAGTGTATGTACTATGCGCTCTGACGCCAGTGTAATGTCTTGAAAATCGTATATATTGCCGCTAGGTGTTAGGTAACAGATTATTATAGTACAGAGGTCGAATTTGGTCAAACTCATTGATGTTTCCTTTTGTAGGGGTGACTATTTCATGAACCATTGAATAAGAGCTGTCAGACGCACTTATTTGGACGGTACTTTGTCGATTTCGGTTGGGGAAATTTGAAAAGAACTGATCTTCGCTAAATCTGAAATAAATACTAATTTTGGGTATGATTGAAAAATTATGTGCTTTACACGGCTCTGCAACTTTAATTTTAATCACACACATAGGTATGCTAATTTTTACTTATTTCATAAAAAGTACTTTGATTTATTTTTAAGTAACAATTTTTATGTTATGTGCTTAGGATACTTTATTTGTGTAAAATATGTAAAATGCCTTCAAATTGTAGGTAGTTATATAATGCAATTAAAATCAAACTTAAGCCATTATAAATATTTCTTGTAAGCTATATTTCGGATTAATTTATTAAATAACAGTAAAACAAATGTTTGAAGAGGATGAATCAAAATTGTGGTCCCATTACGTTAGAGTCTGTTCATAACAATTTTTACTTTTCGAACAGTTTGCAGTTCTTTTCTCCTGTCTGAAATTAAATTTAATATCTCGGTTCGCTTTTCGAGGCAGTTTAGACCTTTACTGTTAAAATTCTGTAGATCAAATTTTGAACTAAACGAGCCATTTCGCGGTATATGTTATGATTTTAATTCTCATTTCAACACATTTGACTTCTCTGACTCACTTTTCAAAATTAAAAATACTTTATTGTTTTCTCTTAATTAATGAAAATATAACAATTTATTATATTGTAACTATAAATCTTAGCTGTTGAAATTTTTGTTTCTGTAGCTGAGTAGTTTTAGATCTCAACACTTAAAAAACTCTCTTGTCTTTTCTGACTCGGCTAATTCCGCACGTATGCGGATTGCGCCCCTCGCGTCGGTTGGGGGGAGGAGGGTAATCGTTGGGTTATTATTATTATTATCAATCAGCGATTGCTAAACCTTCCACACTTTGTGTCAGCTGATCCTTCGCTTGCTGTGCTACTTTGCATAAATTCCCCTCTTGTGTCTCTGGATCTTCGTACTGTAGTATGTCCACACATTCATTTAGTATAGCAATAACGTCAAGAAGTTTATGCTTTAATTTATCTGCTGTTATAACGCCGCCAATAAAACCGCTCTTGGCCAATAATACTAACGGTACATGCAAATCGTATAAAATCATAGCACGTGCTCGACTCAACCCCGGTTCAAAGACATCCAAAACATGTAACACTTGTCGACATAGCTCTTCTTTGTGTTCAAGCATAACATCGGGCAATTCAGACAATTCATATTCTGCGACACGACCATACATTTCGATAAGATTTTGACGCAATCCTATTTGTATGAAGTGTAGAGGGTGTAGAACTACACGATATTTTCTCATTAGCTTTTCTGTTTCTTGTAATTTCTGTGGACTAGGATCCATAGCTTGTAGTGTGGCGACTTCGGATTGTATTACAGATAGTGCTTTCTGTATCGCATTATTAGATGTTTGAAAGGTGCAAAGTGTGCATTTCCAGCAGCAGGAAGAATCTAAAGTCAAAGCAATATTAAAAATGTTATACATAAATATAAGTACATAAACCAATATTAAAACAAACTAACCCAATGGATTAGTTGACAGTAACCACCCATCTTCGCATTTACTGCACTTGAACGTGCTAAAATTCGTACCCAACTCGGTGGGGTCTTTGCAACGTTTACATTCGCAAGTGAAGAATTTACCAGTCTTTAAATGTTCCTGTCGTTGCGAAGTGCCATTCAAAGTGTATGTATAGGAGTGCTGCAATTGTTGGCCCTCGTCCAAATTACACATAGCCCTCAGGCGGATCCTTTGGATTTTAGAAAGTGATGGCCAATATTTATATTCTTAACATATATATATAATATGAACTATATAATTACTTGAATCCCTCACTTGGATGTATTGTACGAAAGGTATTTGGTACACAATTATGCGCTAATATTCCAGTAATTGGGTATAAGCAACGTAGAGTATATCCCAGTGTTGTCCGAGCTTCAAATGCATTAACTTCCAAGATACCCACTGTTTGCATAATGAGATATTCAGAAAAACGTTCGGCCAAACGACATGGTCCTCTAAGGTACTGTGCGATATTTACAAAATCTGCATTCCAAACATCAACCATTTTTCGACGTTCCTCGTTGTGGTACTCCATTGGTGCGATTTCACGCTCCCAACGATCTGGATCAGATTCCTTGGCAAGAAGAACCCTGTAAAAAGTGATGGGTAAAACAGTAAATCTGAAGTATTTTTAAATAGTATATATGTGTCCGATTCAATTCAAACATAAAGTTCATCAACTTTTCAATGCTAATGGAAGAATGAAAATATCCAGATGAATGATACTACCGACAAGTTAAGTTAAGGGGGTATTCAAGTCTGCAGGGTATTCAGGGTATAAAAAGGTTCATTTTAACTACACCGACGCTTTAATATCTTACGTCAAAGAGAATATCCCATTCGGATGGGTCTACTAAGAAGATAATGACCCAAGACTTATCTCGACAGGATATAAAATGTGATTTCATAGCCAAAATATTAATTTAATGGATTGACCCCTGTGGATTGGCCTGGTTTCCGAACCTTTTTCGAACACCCCTGGAAGGATTTGAAAAAAGATGTGTCGAGATGTACTAAAGTAGTTAAATACCATGAAGAAACATTTTAATACTAAATCTAAAAGTAGTCCTATACATTTTTCTATCGTATATAAATTTTCATATAACAATTCATATTTTGTTCTTATTTTTTCGAGCAGATTGTTTCGGGTTCAGAGCAACAAACACGCCATAAAAAATATAACAGCCATATGATAACCAAGTTTTGCATTTTTTTTTTAATCTCTAATGAAGCACAAATATTTGTGGAAAAAAAGGTTGAACAAAATACTTTTGCAAAAATTTTTTATGGGTTTTTATGTTCATTAAGGTTATTCTTACTATTTTGAACACGTCTGTAGTACTTTCTAGTTTTTATGTGAAGATTATAGCGTTACCTTGAATGATTATCAATGCCGCATTTTGTGAAGATATTTTGTCAAATAAGAAGTTTTCCATAAAATAACTTGATTTCGATCGGTTAATTTATACCGCAGCAGCAACATATAGCTGCCATATATGGTGGTCCGATATCAGCGGTTCCGACAAATATGCAGCTTCTTAAAGAGAAAAGAACATGTGTAAAATTTCAGATCGATATCTCAAAAATTGAAGGAATAATTTGCGTGTATTCGGACAAACGGGCATGGCTAAATCGACTCAGCTCGATATACTGATCATTTATATACTTTACGTATATACTATAAGATCTCCGACGTTAACTTCTGGGTGTTACAAACTTTGTGAGAAAAACAAAAAAATAATAATATATTGCAATAAAATCTAAACGTTTACTAAGAAAATTCGAAATTTGTGCAAATGTATATAAAATGACATAATAAATCAAAAGTGTACACTTCTGCATTGGCGGAAGAATTATATGCCCTCAAGTATGGTATATACCATATTATATATGCCACCATGTGGAATTTTTGTCTAGTGACGCACAGAAAATAATACATATGTATGTATGTGCATCAAAGTATTTTCTTTTGCCACTGATTTAAAATGCTATGTTTGTTTTATGCTCGCACTAGTATTCAGTCAATGATCATAGCAAACCTTATGCATTTTACAAAATTTTTGTAACTTTGCCAAATATCGTTTTACTTATAATTTAGTATATTAATTATTGTATATTCATTTATCTATGCCGTACACTTATACCATACATACGGTTCACTTTCACATATTAAACAGAAACGTGGAAACCATCGCTGTCAGTTCATTCCATTGCATATACTTAAATAGTGCTCTATTGATAAAAGTTGAAATAAATTAATCGTTTTTAAGGCAAACGTTTATAGGGCTACATAAGAAGCATACTATTGGGCATTACTGTCTTTTCATCACGGTAAACATATACGACTCTGATATCGTTGGGATATTACCCGGTAATATTTGATTAAAAAAATATGATAATATTACGAATATGTTCATATAACTGATTTACCAGAAAACCATCACTATCCAAACAAAATCGCATTTTCAGAAAACCGGTTTAAAGTTTTTGATAGATTATAAAATTTGCATTGGTGCATTGGTAATCACATTTAACTTATTTATTAAAGAAATAATGATATTAAAACACGGTTAATTAAAATACATGAAGTAAGGGAAATATAATATTTCGCTTTAGGCTTAATTCATTGAAAAACACAAGAAAAACGTTAACTTCGGTTGCACCGAAACTATAATACCCTTCACAGATGCAAAGGTTCCTTACAATAACTTGATTCAGATCTAATTTCGTGAATCGGCAATAAAAAAGAAAATTTTTTTCCATGCAGGCACTTTACTCTGATTGTTCAGTTTATATGATAGCTATATGACATAGCGATCCGATCTAAACAAATTTTTCGGAGATTATATTCTTGCCATAGAAAATAACTCACGCCAAATTTCGTCAAGATACCTCGTCAAATGAAAAAGTTTTTCATGCAAGCACTTTACTTTGATCGTTCAGTTTTCATGCCAAATTTCGGAAAGATACCTAGTCAAATGAAAGAGTTTTCCATACAAGAACTTTACTATGATCGTTCAGTTAATATGGCAGCTATATGTTATAGTCATCCGATCTGTTCAAGTTTTCGGAGATTACGTTGTTGCCTCAAACAACAACTCATGCCTAATTTCGTGAAGATACCTCGTCAAATGAAAGAGTTTTCCATACAAGAACTTAATGCCGATTGTTCAGTTTGTATGGCAGCTATATGCTATAGTCATCCGATCAAAACAATTTCTTCGGGAATTACATTGTTACCTTAAACAATAACTCATGCCTAATTTCGTGAACATACCTCGTCAAATAAAAAAGTTTCCCATACAAGGACTTGCTTCCGATTGTTCAGTTTGTATGGCAGCTATATGCTATGGTGGTCCGATATCGGCCGTTCCGACAAATGAGAAGCTTCTTAAAAGAAAAGGGCAGGTACAAAATTTCAGATCGATAGCTTAAAAACTAAGGGACTAGTTTGCATATATACAGACGGACGGACGGAAAGACGGACATAGCTAAATCACCTCAGCTCATCATGCTCATCATTCATGTACATATTTTATAGAATCGCCGACGTTTCCTTTTGGGTGTTACAAACTTCGTGGCAAACTTAATATACCCTGTTCAGGGTGTAATAATTAATTTACAAAGAATCATAAGCATTTTGGAAAAAGCTGAGTGTATAAGATGTTGCTACAAAGTACAAGTATAATACATTTGTTTACCTAACGTTTGTAACACCTAAAAATAATCGAGTTAGATATAGGGTTATATATAGATTATAAATAATCAAGCTGATGAGACGAGTTGAAATACGAGTGACTGTCTGTCTGTCCGTCCGTGCATTCGATAACTTGAATAAAAATTGAGATATCTGAATGAAACCTGGTACACGTGTTCCTTGGCGGAAAAGTAAGGACGAGTTCGTAGATGGGCGTAATCGGAAAAAGAAAACGCCATTAATCGAAAACCTATAAACTGAGATAACTAAGCCGCAAATTAAGATACAAAACCGTTATTTGATACAACGAATCGCAATAATGAGGGAAACCTGTGGTTAGAAATTTTTTTGAAAGTGGTTGTGGCCCCGCCCCCTAATAGGATTAATTCAAATTTTACCCAAATTAGCACGGGACATATCGAGGACATTTCGACATCTCTTGCGACAAATGAAAATAGGTGAAATCGGATGATAACCACGCTCACTCCCCATATATCACTTAAGTAAAATCACATACAACAAGTATTTTGACATTCCACACAATTTCAAATTCCATTTGATTCTTTCACTTTCCAGTATACAATTCAAGCACTAATTAATATATCTGAATAAAACTGTGCACGAAAACTTCCGGCTGGCCTTTGAAGTGCGGTACTTCATGACTCAAAATTGTCCAAATCGGACAAAAACTATTCAAGCCCCTAAATACCGGAAATGTGGCTGACTTTATGCCCAAAATATCGGTCAATATGTGAGATATTTAATTGAAATAAGGAGAGAATCCCTTCCTGATAATAGTATGTCTGTATGTCAAAAATGGGTTGAATAGGGTCAATATTTGATATAACCCCCATGCGGCAGACCTTATACCCAATATTTCGGCCAATATGTTATGTGAGTGATCTTGTTTTAAATTGTAGCATCTGTTTCTTTTAATACCTTGTTGTAATAGCCAAAAATAGATAAAATCGGTTCAATACTACACCTATTTCCCATATACCTAGTAAAAGATTTTCAAACCTCCGGTTGGCCTTATACCGTATAATTTTGGATACGCTTTGATTACACTACGTATAAAAATTATCGTCATTCTAACAAACCTTATTATCCCTGATATCAACAGTTTCGATCATCTAGTTGACGTTTTGCACATCAACTCAATATATTATATTTAGCCTCTTTAGGTTAAGTTTATGTCAGATAAATCTCAATTGAGGAATAATTTTCGCGGACGCGAAATAAAATATATAATAAAACTAATTGAGCCTATGACCTATAATATAACTTAATAAAATACCAAATTTGATTGTAAATCATTCACGATTTTGTCGAACAATGAATGTTAAATTCTTTCGCAACATTTTTTAATACGAAGTTGTGCCAACACCTGAAGGTATATCCCCGGCTTTGATACCGACTCAGTTATCAGAACCAAATATAAGATCGTCTTCTTCACTGCCATTCAAGTCTTCAACTCATTAAGATCCGATTTAATATCGAACACAGGAAAATTAAAAACGATTTTTTATGATTTTTAGTAAAATGTACATATCATCGAAGTAAGTCCTTCGTTCGCTCTCTGTGAAACCAAAGCATCGGACATTATATATGCATAATATTTATTTCATTTAGTTTTTTTAGGCATAGCATTTACAACTTTGCAGTATGTGTACGTCCGATTAGTTTTCATCCCAAATTAGTGAGCTTTAGTTAAGATGCACCAATTCAAATCAATGTTGTAATAAGGTAATATTTTCTGGAATTGTTTAAGGAGAGCTTGATCAACCAAATTTCTTCAAATCACTACCTTAACACTGTTATACAATCCAATTGTGGACACCCCTTTGCATCGCATTGCACGAGGTAAAATTTCGCTTTCGCTTGTGAAAATAC